CCTTTCCTCATTCCATTCTATTTCTTTGATTTAAACATCACACTCCTTTCATCCTGGTGGTGGGATATCCTTGCATTCTTCAACTTAAAGCACTTTTAGACAGAAATATTCAGCTCTGTCTTATTAGGCCAAAGCCTCCCTGGGAAAGGTCCTAAAAAGGCAAAACAAAATGAGTATTTGCACACACACATGTAAGTGTTACTTACCCCCTGCTCTAAATCATTAATATCACAGCACAGCGAGCATACATAGGCATAATTCTGTGTGGAACCAAGTGTATCAAACTGACTTTCCAAATCTCATCTAAACACAGCAGTTTACTAAGATTGTTTAAATGTTCAGTTACTTAGCAAATACAAATCACATTTGAAACAAACAGCAAATAAAGGAACATGTCTTTTCTAAGTTCACCACACTATGCATTTCACAACTTTTAGCAGAAGTGTGGAAACACTTGTAACTTCAGACTACATAAATATATATATATATATATATATGTTACTTTTCTAGGTAACTGCAGAATCTTACCTTTGGAAACTACTCCACAGTGAACAAAAGTGATACTCAGGGCCCAGTGACTCAGTTGAAGTGGTGACACTGACTGAGAAGCTTTCAGTGTAATTACAGACACAGTGCAGGTTGCTATGGAAGTGGACTCATTTTCAAAACACAGGGGGCGGTAAAAGTTTAACTAGAGGACAGAAAAACAAAAAGACGTGTAGTTGTTTAGTGTCAAACGCGACCCTAATTTTATATTTTAGGCAGCTCTATATCTTTTGTCTTTAAGTTCCAAGAAACTTAACTTGTAACAATATGGCATGAAACGTATTGTGTTATTAAAGAGTTAGAATCAAGCCACTAGATGGCGCCAAAAGCCAATAATTCTGTAAATTTTAAAACATACCACAATGACAACTGAGAGATGGATAAAATATATAATAATCAAGAAATTTATTTTAAAATTCATATCAAAAGACTTTAGTAAAATTTGAAAATCTCTGGAGTTTCAAAAAAATTCTCCACGTTTCAGTGAATGAGAAATTATCCAAGCAGCAAATTTGTTATTGGTTGCAGGATGAATTTTCTCAATTTCATATTTAAAAACATAGAAAAAAAAAGGTTTGGGTTGAAAAAAAGTTGTAACAGTAAAACGACAGGTACAAAGACAAAAAAAAGAAAAAGATCACAAGACAAATTTTGTACTAAACGTTTCCTCATTGCCAAGCATCAGACTGAAGAAAAAAAAACAAAAATTAAAAACTTTAGACTAACATGGTAAGAACTAATCAAGTGCAAGTTGTTTTCATAACCTCTTCACATTTCGCCGGCTTTGAGCACTTCCTGGAAGAATTATGTCACTTTTGCGACGACTCCCAAACCGACTTGTACACTCTCTGGAGCCGTGAAAACCACACAAGCAGGATGTGCAAAACTGGAAACCACAGTCCTTTCTGGTGCACACGCCTTCACCTTTCACTGAGTGGCATCTCGCAGGATGTTCACATCGAGGACAAGGCTTGAGACACTCATCGATAAAGAGTGTTTTGGCTATCTGAAATGTTCATTAAAGAAAAATAAAAAAAATAAAAATAAAATGATGCTGTTTTTAGCAATATTTGGACAGCCCTTTAAACACCTCTACTAGGTGTTTAAAGGGCTTATAGACTTTGAGAAAGTATGGAAAAAAAGCTGATATGTCTTGCAGTAATGAATGAAGTTTAATATGTTACCCTCTGCTTCATTATAAGTGATAAGATTAATAAATAGATATACAAATACATATAAATACTTTTACCAGCAGAAATATTAAACTAATATTTCTATTAGTATGCACATACATGAATAAATTAATTGTCATTTTCAGTAAGTTTCAACATCTAAAGATTCTCTATGTGGAGGTTGTATGTTTGCACATTACCCCACATAGACCATTTGAATATCTTTTAATTGTAAATGACTGCATACTTTTATGTGGGTTATTTAACCATGATAAAACTTAAGCAGTATGGTAATAAAATATCTCAGAATAAAATCAAACTCACTTCTACAAATTTCTCACGCTTGCTGTTGCTCCCCGAACGTGACGTGCTGTGCTGAAGTTGTGCGGATCCGATACCTCCTGACAGTGGTGTGCAGAAACTGGAGTTTCTGGACTGGTTCTGAACCACCTTGAGTGCTGACCTTCTGAGCAGTGTTAGCCTGGTTTCTGCATCAGGGACATGGGGGGTATCACTGAGCTTCAAGACAAAAATAACATTGAAAATAGTTTTAAATATTAATTACTATTAGATGATATAAGACTGATCTTATATCGATCAGCATAAATTCACTTCAAAAAGCAAATCTACCTCATGAGATGCTTTCATTTCACACAGGTAGCTTCTTCTTCTTGTCGCAGCTTCTCTGTCCTGCATTATGATTTCATTCCAATTTTTGGACACCAGACCGCAGCTGTCAAAGGTGAAATTAAGCTTAAGTTGATATAGATTTAAATGAATACAGATAACACATTAGATAAGATTTGAAACTGTTTCATTTATATGGTTAGGTATAAAATAATCCTCACTTGTAGATGCTCTCAGGTGTTAGGTAACCAAGTATGACAGCCAGGATGTGTCTGAGGTTTCTCTTCTTCAACTCTTTAAGTATGTCTATCCTCCCCAGACCCATCTTCCTGCCAATCAGTCCAGCCAATGGCATGGTGGTCCTTAGCAATACTGGGGTCTCAGCCAGTGCTGTTGCATACTTCAGCTGCTCACTGAGACTTGGACTCTGTCCAGAAAACACCTGCGCCTTCTGCTGAAACATGGCATGAACCAGCTGCAGGGCTGGTGTCAGCGAGAGATCGACTGGGGTTGTTTTCAGAGGGGTTGTGTTTCCATTAGTTGGAGATACTGAACTCACAGGCGTGGTGTGTCCTGGTTTGGCACTGAGTGGTGTGGCATAACCTTGTTTTGCATGGATCAAACCATCTGGGGTCCTTCCATTTCTACATTTTACCGAGAGGACTTGGCAAGGCGTAGCACCCTCAGCCAGGACATCTTTAGAGAAGCTCTGATGAAAATGTGCAATATTCCTGTTTGTAGGCTCTTCCTCAGACTGTGAACCTCCTTCTTTGAGTGTAGAAAGTCTATGCTGACGCTGCAAACGGGGCCGACGCTTTTGGTCTGCAATACTGGGGGTTTCACAGTTAGTTTTTGACGCAGAAAACAGCAGATCCTGAAATGAGCCATCATGGTCTACTGAGGAGTCTTGGGATTTATCTAGGGTCAGGGAACCAAATCCACTGTCTTCAGAGACAGACCTGTTACAAGGCACAACATTTTGATTTTTTTTAAATTGATTTTACAATAACATTAGTAAATATTAAATACATTTGGAAAGAAAAAATGCAAAAGAACCTACCTCACACATTTAGGTGTTTGTGTAGTAGATGGTGTAGAAAAGACATCATTAAAGCCACTTGACATGTGCTGGTCAGGCGATTGAAGGTATTCCTTGGACGACTGTGGAGTCTCAATAGTGGTTTGATCAGAGGTAGAATTGCTTTGTCTGAAATCTGCTTCTGAGAGTAAAACCTCCCTCTCAAAAGTTGGTGCATTCTTACCAGTGCTGGATTTACCATCTACAAGAGTGGAAGTTCTAATGTTTGAGTAAAGGAATCGACGTTTCCTGCTGGATAGTGGCAGGTCTTGATCTAGTCTTAAAGTGCTTGATGCAAAAGCCACAGTCACTGCGTCCAGAGAGTCAAATGATCCACTGAATAATTGTTTAGACCTGGCGCTGATTGAGGTTTCAGTCGTTTTCATACATGTCAACCTTGTGTTGTCAACATCTGTGCTGGGTTTGCATGTTAGAAGTCTATGTCTCAGAGAGGCATCTCTTTTATATAGTCTAGGAGTTTCACACCAGCTAATTGGTGGTGGCTGCTGGGTTTGCTTGTTCCTCTCTTTGGATGTGACAGTGAGGCGAACATTTTCTTTAGGGGTCTCATTAAACTCAACAGGTGACAAAGACTGTAGGTCAACTTCACTGATGTTTTGTGGACTTTGGAATAAACCCGAGTAGCCACTGTCACAGCAGTCATAAGTATGCTGGTCTTTGCAGTAGACTGGATAAACCTTTGACACTGGTGTGTACTCCACATTCCTCATATCTTGTACAAGCTTTGGCCCCAGGACAGAACAAAATAGGTGATGATTTCTGTATAATAAAAAAATACAGATAAAATAAAATCAAAAGCAATTACAAGAATCAGTACTTTGACAACGCTGCGATCTGTGCAGTGCCGCTATAAAGTGAAATTTAGCCGCCAATACCAACAAGTCTGGACTGGTACTACAGGAGTGCTGCTAAGGGGCTGGAGTACTCTAAACACAATGGAGCCTATAATTACAATTATTTACACAGGTTTTTTACAAAATAGCGGTGTCAGGACTGTAATGAGACATTGAACTGCAGTTTAAAGTTGCAGAGGCGATTTTAATTAACCAAAATGCGAGTCAAAAATTAAACACTAGTGTGCCACAACCCTTTGAGGAAGCAATTACGCCAAACACCTGTTCTACTTAGCAACATAGCCTTCGTGTCAGTGTTTCTTAGCATTCAGTAATTACAAACGCTTATTTTACTGCAAACTTTGGCTAATCTTATTTTAAACACAGGCACATTTAGAAATTGAATACAAATTTCAATAGACCTACAGTCACGTAAATTCGGTTTCGCTACAGCGAGAATTTTTCATACATATTTAAACGTATAAAACTGCATGTGTGGTGCATTAGTTTCCTCTACAAATGACCCAGCGACAAGAAATTGCTTCTACTTCAGTCGAAACGTGCTTCTCTCACAAACGAATGTTACATCTCTCTAAAAACATGTTTTCAAAATGTTCGGACACTTACTTCTCGATAAAAACTGGGCAAACGCAGAGACTATGGTGTTTTCTTGGGCTAAGTCTCCGGCCTCAGTTTTCATACACCTGTTTCCTTAATTTCTGTTTGCTACATGTTGATCCAAACACAGACAACCGCTGAAATTGGATTCAGCTTTTCAAATCGGGGCTACGCAACCGACCGCGTGACGTGTTTCCGGTTAGAAATGTAGGCTGGCTCATTTACCATAGTAACAGACAGCGCCGTGGAGTTTTTCCAACAAACAACAGCAAACAGGTGATGCTATTTAAAACTTTCGTTTTTTTATTCAAACATTGATATACCCAAATACTAACATATTTTATAAATAATACTTGTACTGTTGAACGTTCTTTGGAGAACACCGTAAGGTTTCATAGTATACATTATAGCCTATGCTTAAATATATAACAGTAAAATGTTAGGTGTTTACTTTGTACTTTTTCTTCTTTTTTACAGAAAACCATTGCTCCTTCGAAGTATTAAATAGTATGTGTATGCGTGTTTATATAACTTGTATAGATATTTTTGATCTGTATAAAAAACGATAGTAAATGTTACCAATCTGTTGGACTTCAACAAAACGAATGTAAACCACATGGTTGTTTTAAATATCAACACTGAATATGAAGTTTATTTCTTAAATATACTAGGTATATTAGATAGCTCATGGCTAAAACAACAGCTTAGTTTTGAAGTGGTAGCTAAGTATTAGTATAAAAATTGAGTACTACATGGTACATAAAAATGGCTAAGAAATATATAGAAAAAAATAGAAAAAACTAAATAATAATAATAGACTTGTATGTTAGTGTGTAGTAAGCAGTAAGTAATAAATACAATCTCAAAAATGAGCTTTGAATCCTTTGAAGAGAAGGCAGGAAAAATATAGGGCTGCAATGCAACATTACAGAAGCAACCTTGTAATGTAAAACACCATGGAAATGAAAAAACAACTTCATAGTTCGTTTCTCACAGGTTGAAACATGCCACTGTGAACAGGACACATGACAAATTAATGAAAATTCTATTCTAGGCATGACAAGTGCAAGGGAAGTTTCGTCTCTTCAAGGTGAATCCACCTTCACTGACCGTCAAAGGTCTCTGTCATCAGAGGTCCCTGTGGAGTGTTTGGACTACGCATACATTGAAAAGTGCAATGATGTGAAATACCTGGAGAAGATTCTAAGGGTGCTGAGGTAAAATCAAACAATTATTTACTTCTGATGTGAGGTGGCACAAAAATTAAGCAATTAAGTAAATATTAAGTTTGTCAGCAGTCACAGCCAGATGCTGGGGAGGTCGGGGGGATGTGTTGTATGATGTTATGCACATGAGTTAGTTCATCTAAGTAAAGGAGGTTGTGTTGGTGAGGGGTGGTAGCTGCAGCAGAGTGAGCTGAATGCATACGTTGTTCTAAATTCATTGCAAGAAGTTTTAATCTGAACTATTTCACTATTTGTACTTTTGAAGGTCTGGTGATGAGGGCTTTTACCCTCATCTGATCCAGTTCTGTGAGGATCATCTGGAGAAACTGGACCCGAAGAACCGAGCACTGAGGAAGGCAACTCCTGTCGCAACAGCGTCCAGTCTTTCCAAAGATGAATGGAGCCAAATTGTTGATGAACTAACAGTTTGTAAACTCTTTTTATGTATACATGAAATTAGTGAAAATGCTTTTATGTATTACACTTTGATATTGCATAAATTAGTAAGAGCTGTGTTTAAGAATGCCCAATATAAGTGGTTTTTCTTTTACAAATGTTACCTATTTTCTTACTTCTGTAAAGCTAATCTTGTCAGTAAGTTATAAACAATAACAAAGGAATGTTTATAGATATTAACTATTTTAGGTTGGTTGTGAAATGTATTGGTACTAGCTTTACTTAATACTTTTTTCACAGACATGGCAGGAGGAAACCAAACATGCTGAAACTTTGCTGAAACAGCAGCCTCCATGTGATGATGTAATGAAGGAAATACCATCGATAAGAAATTCTAACTGTTCCATTTCACTTAACAAGGTACTGTTTAGGTTCTCTGATACGTACACTGAAACATTTCCATGAACAAGTACATTAAATGGTCCAATCTAGTGCTCTTCTCATTACAGAACTCAAATACTGCGGAAAGGAGAAAGTCTTCCAAACGTGTCATACCACGTGATTATCGAGAATGGGACAAGTGAGTCTTCCCTCCAAAGAGAAAAAAACAAATGATGTATTGAAACAGATCTAGAAATAGTGTGTGTCATTCTCTATTTGCCAGGTTTGATGTAGAAAATGAATGTAAGAGGATTGATGGGAATATGAACCACAGTCAGCCGGCAGCAAGTAAAATCAAAGGAATCTCTCAGATCAAGACAGAAGTGGATACTTCATGTAATGTTTATTTCTCTCTTTAGTGTTCTTTTTCTATTTTTATTTTGCCGTCTCTATATCTGAACATGTGTGATCTATTTTATTGCTGCATCACCAGTGCTAACCCAACAGGAGAAACTTGTGATGGCAAACAGAGAGAAGGACAAAGGCAATGAAGCCTTTAGAGCCAACGATTATGAAGAGGCGATCTCCTACTATTCCAGGTCACTTGAATTTTTGTTTCAAATCTCAAATTTAAATACCTGTAGCCTGTTTTAAACAGATATTTGTAAAGGTTCTCAGTCAAGACTAGACAAGATCAAGGCAGTTTGTACAACTGTTTTACATATCATAATAAATATAATCTTGATATATATGGCACTCATTGAAATGATAAGTACCACTGAATGCAGCTCAAATGTCAATTCCAAAGAAAAGGTGATTCAATGTGAATATTTGCTGTTGGATTTCTGTGGCAGGAGTTTGTCTATTATACCAACTGTGGCTGCGTACAACAACAGAGCCCAGGCAGCCATCAAACTTAACCAGTGGCAGAATGCAATGACAGACTGTCACAGTGTTCTTCAGCTGGAACCAGGAAATGTGAAAGGTACGATTCTACAACAACAATACAGTGCCATAAAAAAGAGGTGTTATTAAATCTTCAACCTTTGTCTTTCTATCAGCCCTGCTGCGACGAGCCACTATACACAAGCACATGGGTCAAGTCCAGCAGGCAGCTAAAGGCCTGCGGGAGGTTCTGAAGATGGAACCACATAATGTTTCAGCCACAGTGAGTGATACAGAACGTTCATCGCTAGCTAGTACAGCAGCATAGTGGCCACTAGATGTCACTCTATAGAAGTGAATTGGAAAACCCTCGTACTTTAGTGAGGTTGTAATGAAACAATGCTCATGTATTATTATTATTAAACTAGATGAATATTATCTTGGCTTATTATCCATAATTAAAGTGGCTTACTTTTGCAAAAATACAGGTGAAACATTTGGACTTACTATGTAGAGTATCATAGATATAGTACTGCATGGTGCTGATCTTACCTTGACTGAACTGGTTTGTCCTCTGACTGCTGATGAAATCTGTTCTTGGTAGGAACTTCTATCTGAAATTGAGAAAGAATGTCAACCGGAGCAGCAAAAACAAGGCAAAAAAATCATCATTCAAGAAGTAGAGGAAGAGAAAGATGAAAACACGGAGAAAAAAACTGAAGGTATGATCATTAATTTACACGTCATTGACTTCCCCTCATTTAAACACACAGGCATGAATCAAATGAACACAAACAGTGAACATCACACAGTTTTTAAACCCATTCACAATTAAGCTGAATTAGGTGATGATTTAAAATAGGGGAATGGCCTTAACCTCAGGTTGACCCAGGGGTAATCCTGAGCGGTGATTCCCCCTCCCCTGTGTGTGCAGGTGTAAAGGTCTAAAACACACATATGGGTAATTTGGATTAATAGAGGTCATTCAATCATGGATCGTGGATCATTCAATTGTATTTGAAATCTGAGTCAGAATGTCTGTCCGTCTCTGTAGGTTGCTGGACTGATAGAGTGGTTACCTGCTCAGATTACAACATTACTGTCCCTGTATCAAGCAAAAATGAACAAATGTATGAGTGAATTTCAATGATTCTTGGGAAATGAATGGATTATAATTACTTGTGGTACAAAACAGTGACTGAAGTCTGAAATAAGCCTGACAGTTAAGTTACAGTTTAGGTAGTCATCTGTATTATTTTAAAAGCTGCAGTAGAAAGAGAGCAATTGTTAAAGGGAGCTTGAGCGTTTTTTGTAATAGTCAAGTCCATGCCGTGCCTTCTGCTCAAAGTGACTCACTGTGCATGCGTATTATCTACCCCACCCCCACGGATCAGTCGTCTGCTTCCTGGAACTAAACTGCTCTCCCTGTGTGTGTGTGTGTGTGTCCAACCCTCCCCCACTGTGATGTAACCACTGACTTCTTCCGGTACACCCCTCCTCTCTTCACCTTTCTCTCTCCATTCCAGCCTTTCTGGTTGAACCCAGCCAGCCTGTGGGAGGGGAGGAGAGATCAGCTGCTCCTGCGGAAAGGGGGAACATGGGGAATGCTCAGAAGAAGCCCAATGGCAAAGGGGACCTGGGACAACACAATGATTCAAGCAGCTCTCACACAAAACACCCGTGGAGTAAAGGAGCGAACGCAGACAAATACAAAGTCTCCACTCAGGAGTCCAAGGAAAAGGTGGCCAATGGAACAAACCAGAGGGGCTCGACTGCTTCAGCCCACGCTGATCAGGGCAGCAGTGGCAATCAGACTCAAGCTGGAGGAACTGTCAACCTTGATGCTCCATGTGGAGCTCTCCCTCCACCGCTGGCCCGGCTAAAGAATGAAGGAAACCTGCTGTTTAAAAATGGACAGTTTTCCGATGCACTGGAGAAATACTCACAAGCCATTCAGGGATATAACGACTCAGGTAGGTGTGAGCACTGCTGCTGGTTAATGTTGTCCTTGATATAGTTAGACACTGTAAACACAATAGAACATTATGTAAATCCCACTGCAGAAAATGTAAATATACACCCTCATGTCTGAAACCTTGTGTTTATGACAAGACCTTAATGACAAGGAACAAATGTCACCTGACTGACTGATGTTTATAACCAGGGTTCTGACCTGTGTTCGGATAAATATTCTCTTTTTAGTATACAGTAGCGTTGGTGACGACCTTGCTACTGAAATGGTTCCTTTAATTCAGTTCTTACAACATTCTAATAAAAGTCAATCAAATTAGACTGGTCTAATAATCCTGTATCACAGGGACAAGGTACATTAACCTTGCGCTCATTAAACAGTGTGTACATTGGAGTTGTGCTGTTGCACACAGACAGTGATTCTGTTTTTGCCTCAGCCTGACGTTAAGCCTCTCAGCTCAGGTCTCTCCAGGTCACATGACTACTAACCACTCTCTGTGAAATTGAATCGGTGTAGCCGCAGCCATAAGTTACAGTTTAGAGGGAACAGATATATATATATATATAGAGAGAGAGAAAGAGATTGATTAATGAAGAGAATTGGCTGTTGGTCAGGGCTGACCCACTGCCATCTTTGTCTGTATCTCTGTGGACAGTCATAGTTTATCACTGCTGACTCTGACAGTGAAAGTGATGAAGGACTGACATCCTCTGAGCTGCTTCATCACTTGACTGGTGCAGTAGATGCCACGTCAAATGCAGATTATAGCACATGACATTAATGGAAAAACGATCTGTGAATTAAAACATAACCAAATGTTTTCAATTCAGCAATTTTTAAATGCCCGAATTCAGACATTTTCCATGTTGATGTTGATGTTGAACAAAGTCGAGATGAATTTCAATCATAGCATTGTTTCCTGTTAGAAAAAAATTAAATATCAAATAATATTTATCTGAATTAAATAATATATAAATGACTTTCTTTTCTTAAAATCTATTTTAAAAATGTCATTAACATTATAAATGAATAAAATACAGACAACTTAGCCAGATGAAGATTAAATGGTCAAAACAGATATTGACTAATTTTGTAAAAGATCATTTGGAATGAAGCAAAGCTTTAAAATGTTAGAAGAATTAATGTCAGTGTGCAATCAATCCAAAACGAGAAAATAATTTGTATGTAACTGTTGACAGTTAAGGAAAACCTTTGCACGGTCTAGATTTGCTCAATGTTGTTTCAAACTATGGTCTCCAACACCTTTACCTTACCATCACCAAGTTTCAAATGTAGGCCAGATAAATGATCATGTAAAGTACAACAGGAATAGGATCACAGCAGGTGTTCAAGAGTCCTTGTATGGAAACAGATTTCTATAATTCACGGAAATAAATACAGCTTTCTGCAGTATGTGTTAACAATAACCTGTGTCCAGAATTGCTGAGTCGGCTTAGATCCACTTTGAATTTCTCCAGTGATGTTTTCGAATCCTGTTAATTTTAAACTTCTTCTTCTGTTAATTAGTTTTTTAATGGATTGACCAAGATTGAATCCAAATTTCTTTATTGACTTGGACCTTAAAAGATGACCAATAGATGCAAAATCAACATAAAAGTTGTATATTCCTACTTACAAAATTAGGGACATCCTGGGGGCTGATTGGATTTTACCTTTTTCTGTGACATACACTCTGACAATACACCTTGTCGTCACTCAATTAAGTTATGTGAATTAGACCTGAAACACTATTGGATTATGTCTCAGACGTCACTCCTGCTTCTTATTTTTTAAGAAAACATTTTCACTTGAAACCCTGGTAGTTTACTTTTGAATTGATTCAAAGAGCAGCATTGAATCCATGACTCCTGCTGACAATCACTAATGTTTGGTCCTCGAATTGAAATAATGGAAACTCAACCCAGATTCCAAGTGATTTTTCCCAAAGTGACTTTAGATTTGTTATGACCTACCTGCTTTTGTTCCTGATGTTTTCTTTGTTGTACTTTTATATTGACATTCATCTGACTTTCCACAGGGATTGACAGTCCAGACGACCTCTGTGTACTGTATTCCAACAGGGCAGCGTGCTACCTGAAAGATGGTAACAGTCAAGAATGTATCCAAGACTGCACGAAGTGAGCTGCGTGCACACACACACACACACACATACAGTGAAACCAGTTAGAGTGTACAGTAAGAGATTGTTTGCTGAGGGAGTCACCTCTAATTTCACAGCATCTTACAGCTCTGTGCTTTAATCATTCCTCCACATTATAATACTCTCAGGTTATCAGTTAAACTGTGTCAGGGTGTTGTGAGTTTTTAACTAGAAAATAACTGGACAGACATGGATCCTGACAGTACAATCACATTCTATGATTGGCAGTGAAAGCTGCAGACTTGATCCTTTGCTCCTGTCTCATCCCATCTATATTTATACCAACCAGAGCTCTGGAGCTGCAGCCTTTCTCTCTAAAGCCCCTCCTACGCCGTGCCATGGCTTATGATTCCCTGGAGCGTTACCAAAAGGCCTACGTGGATTACAAAACCGTCCTGCAGATAGATGCCAGTGTGCAGGCAGCACATGACAGCGTCAACAGGTTCAGTATAAGCTTTATAACTTACAATCGTCCAAAACACAGACACCAATGAAATTAGTTTTTACTTTCACATTTCTGGTTTGTCTAACAAGTAAAACCACTTTTATCTGTTAGCAACACAAGAGCTGATGGTCACCAAGGACATTGACTTTATAGTATGTCATTAAGTCCACTTAAAGTGAGTGACACCTAATCTTTTAAGAGTCCTAGGGAAAGCACCGGAAGAAGAAACAAGATGATGACTTGATTGATTCACTTCCATTGGATTTGTTGATGGCATCAGCACAATTACAAGAATAAATACATTCATGTAAAATATTTAGTTTGGCCATAGAGGTGCTGTTATTACTAGCTGGTCGATTTAATCCTGAGCTAGCACAAAGCTGGTGGTCATTTATGCTTATTATAGACTGCAGGTCATTTCTATTGTTTCTCTGTGACACAGAGAGTAGTAAACTTATCGGGGTCTTCCTCCAGGATCACTCGAGTACTCATTGATCAGGATGGTACAGAGTGGCGAGAGAAACTTCCGGAGATTCCCCTGGTGCCTCTGTCAGCTCAGCAGCACCGCAGAGAGGAGCCACCAAGCGCAGATGTTCTACAAGCCAGAGCAGAGAAAGCAGCCAGAGATGCAGGTTGGTGTTAGGAAGGAAAAGGCAGTCAATAAAACAGCACTGTGTTATTTATAGAAACAGAAATTATACTCAACTTTATCTTTGTGATTTATTGAACAAAACAAGGGGCAGTTGGGCAGAAGTAATGTTGAGTTCATCTTTTGGCTTGAAAGTCAATGAAATAAAAAAAACATTACTAATAACAGACAGTAAGAAAGAAATAAAGTGGCAGCAGTTTATTTGATTTCATGGTTTGGGTTAAACTGTTCTCAGTTTATGACTTGATTTGAAGTGAAGTATTTTAGTGGGAAGAGAGATGATCAAGAAACATGCTGATGTGTCCCATCATAGCAAAACCAACTAAAGCCAGTCTTAAGCATAAAAACATGTTTAGGGTTACATTAGGATGGCCATCTTAGTATAAATCTGTGCCAAATATTACTATGCACAAACAACAGCGCTGCTCTCTCTGAAATAAGTGGGGCACATATAAACCACATACAGCCCTCCTTGAGTAACCTCTGCTCCAGTGTCATTGAGATACAGACTATTAGATACAGACTATTGCCAAACCCCGAGGATCACATAGGATCTGGAGCTGATCCTGGTAACGGTGAGTCACAAGTATCCTGGATTAATTGCCGCTGTATCTCAGTACTGACACATAAATACAAGGAAGTATTTGCAGTAGCTTCACATGTGCTGTACAGTCACAGTCCTGTTTCTGCTCTGTCACACTGTCTGAGACATGGAGGCAGGATTTCAAGGCCACATTTTTACTCTCTGACTGAGCAGTTTACAAACTCTCAAGGTTGCAGCTATTTTTTAAAAGTCAAACAAATAGATGGAGCTTCTGGCACAGACTTTTCCCCTAAAAAGGGTCAGCAGCAGATTGCTTAGTCCCGTCTGTGACTGTTCGCTGGCTCAACAGCATCGATTGGAAGGTTTTAAACCTTCAAGCTCTGCAGCACATAGAAGTGATGGATGTCCTTATGCTCGGTGTTCTATGAAATGACAAGAGAGCTTTATCATGTTGTATCTGTTGTAAAAACCACTAAAGAGGTCAATGTGGACCTGGTGTTGCATGTGTAGTAATCTGGTCAGTGCTCTTACTTCACAGAAGGACTTTAACCTGTTTTTCCTTCAGTTTAGATCTTTTTTCTTGGTTCCCCTAGTTTCCTTCTTGAGTCCAAACTGATCTAAGATAGTCCTGTAAAAACACAAAACAAGACTGGAGGTTAGAATTACACAACAAAATTATCATCACCAATATTTGTCATTAAAAACAATAAATATATAATAAAATAAAAGACAAAAGTAAGCATTTGCCATTTTAGAACAAGCAAATTAGCACGAGGTATGAAGGTGATGAACTGAGGCCAAAATGTTGTGTCTAGCTCTTTATATTTCCTGCCAAACAGTTTAAAGAAGGAACCAGGAACAGTAATCCCCATTTCCTTTTTTTCTTTCAGAAAGAAAAGCAGAAGTTCGTTTTGCAGCACTGAAGCAGGAAGGAAATGATTTTGTGAAGAAGAGCCAATACCAGGACGCAGTGGGAAAGTACAGTGAATGCCTTAAACTAAAGCCAGAGGATTGTGCTATCTACACCAACAGGTTTGACACAGACTCTGGCTTCTTTCACTTTCCATTCTGTGTTCTACTGTGACCCTCCACATTTTCAGTAATTCATCTCCACATGGAACAGCCCTAATCTGTGGCTGGGATTAATTGCAACAGAACAGACGGATAAATTGTCCACAGCTCGTGAAGCAGCTGGCAGATTTAACATTTTGTCTTTCATAACTTTACTGATGGCCACTGTGGCTCATGTTAAAGTACAGTTAGAAACATGGGTGACACATGGTTCACACAGGAAACTTGTCTGACTTCATTCTTTTTCTACTTTGTAAGATCATTAATCATTTTAAATGTCCCTCAGTGTTTGTCTGGGGTGTGTGCGTTAAGCTTTGTTTTGTAAAGATCTGTGTGTGTGTGTTAATTTTATGCAATTATCAAAGGGAAAAAACTTTAATTCCTAAATAGAAATGTATTCTGTATTTCCGTGTTTGGTGAAAGTGATTTATACCTATATTAAATCCTCTTAACTTGGTGTGTTTGTTTATGTGTGTAGAGCCCTGTGCTACTTGAAGCTGGACATGTTCAACAAGGCCAAGCAGGACTGTGATGCAGCCCTGAAACTGGAACCAACCAATAAGAAAGCCTTCTATAGACGAGCTCTGGCCAATAAAGGTCTTAAGGTGAACAAGGTTATTTGGTATTAAGCTGTGTTTATAATATGTTAAGTAATGATGTGCTACATAATGCTAAATAATAATAATAATAAAATACTTTTTTGGTTCTATAATATTGTGACTGTTTTGACAGGATTACCTGGCATCCAGCTCTGACCTGCAGGAGGTGCTGCAGCTGGACCCCAACGTGCAGGAAGCTGAGAAGGAGCTGGAGGAGGTGACAGTGCTGCTCAGACAGAGTCTGGCCAACAACTCTCAAGGGAAACCCAGGAAGACTGTCCCCATCACAGAGGTACTGCACATTGACTGGTTGTTTTTTAAAAATCATTTTATTGCAGCTGTATCAGAAAAATTGGTTGCTAAAGTTTTTCACAGAAAAACTATATCTGTTACATTTACCATTAATTTTCTAAAATTTAAAACTTTTTAAATTAATTTTTATTTTTTGTATAGTGTATCTGTAACAGAGGTGTCTAGACAAATGTAAATATCTGATTTAAGTTACATAATTACTTTTATTGCACCCATAAACTATGAAATAATAAAACATGAACAGAAAATATTTTTGCTTGGTTTTTATGGGCAAAAAACTGTAGCTGTAATAATAACTAAGAACAAGCTTTAAATATATCAGAAAGATAACTAAACATTAGCAATTAGCAAAAATTGAGACTGTTATCTCAAAGTTGACAGAAAAAAAAAGAAAAGTTCATTCTGGGGAAAAGATAAACAAGAAAATACAGTATATTTCAGGTGAATAACATTCATTAAAATTGACAATCTCTGTCAATAGATGTATAGTAGATTTCTTCTTTGGGTTTCTTTTTCAGTCATGCCTTCAAAAGAAAAGATCTATGATCTTACCCCTGTTAATGGCTTGTTCGTCCTCAGGTTGATGATGATGATGAAGAAATACCAGCAGTTCCTGACTCAGCAGACACCTACAGAAGTGAGGAGATCACCATCAACCTCCATCCTTCAAACAGCTACGAGTTTGGTCAATCTCTGAACGCAGCTCACTCTGGTGGAAGCACAGCGGTCTGTGCTGACCTCCTGACCTTCACGGCTCCAGAGAATCTTCCACAGTACCTGAGCACCCAGCTGGATGGACTGACCCTCAGCTTCATTGTGAAGGTCCTGGACACCCACCTTCTGAAGAAAAAACCTGACCTGGTCTACCAACATCTCAACCATCTACATAAGGCTGATAGGTTCTCGGTAAGACAAATTTGAATAACACTTGACATAATTGTTAAGAAGCCATTTTTTACTCTTACAAACTTTGGCGAAAGTTAAACAATACTTTCGTCAAATCTTTCGTCTCAGTAGGTTAAGTAGTGTCTGTCAAACTGTTAAACAGTGAAGAGCTGAGGGCAGACCTACAGATGCGGCTTTTTGTCTTGTTGCATGCTCAAAACAAACATTGTTATCGATAATCAGAACCAGACAGTCCCATAATGTGGTACTTGTCACAAAACTCTCACTCTGGTTCTGACCAGTGGCACCGTGCGTTGTCTTAGGTTTGGTCAAAGAAGTGTGGTTCCAGCTCCACAACCCAGAGCCACTCCAGTAGAGCCCCGATGACTTATTCATCCCAGTAATTATGACCTATAGAACTTCTTAATCTGGTTAGAAATGTGGGAATAGCGGGACCTGTAAATAGACTCTCCACTGCTCACTCAGCACTTCATGTTGCAAAGCACTTTTAATAGTTCTTTTGGGTGTTTTACTGGCTCAAAATACTATTAAGCACAGTCCAACAGCCTGCTCAAGTTTTACTCTATACCAGAAATGCAGTCTAGACCAATAATGTACTTTATTGTACTTTTCATTTGGCCTCAAACAGCGCTGTACCTACCTGTAGAATTTTTCCTATAAGTGACATGATTTGTCATCTCCGTTCCCTGCAGCGATTGTCATTAATCCTGTGATGTTTACTTTAGATTTCAATGATGCTGCTAGACAAGGATGGCCGTCAACACATCAGTCATCTGTTTGAACATCTGTTGAACACAGAGAGTACACAGTTCACACAGAGCGATGTCCAGAACCTGGCCAACAAATACATCTGACTCTCCTGCCCTCCTTCTTGTGGTGTGAGCTGCTGCACCATGACAACCATGATTCTATGCAAGAACACTGCTCAGTGACTGTATTAACTAAAGCAGGGAGCTGTAGAATGTGTCCCACAGCAATACAACCTCCGAGTGGAGGTGGGTCACATTCAGTCTACTGATATGTACTATAAATGATTGGTGTGTGTAAAGGACAGGAGTAAGATGTTATTCTTTATGGAACATTTTGCTATGCAGATTTACTTTTGTATTGCCACTAATGACATACAACAACTAGACAAACAGAACATTAAGGACTTTTTACTGCTGTGTACTGATAAGCAGGAGCAAAGTGTACAGAGTTGCGCAAGACTACAAAGTGTAGTTTGCTCAGGTTCTCATAGCTTTGCTCAGATTCTTATCAGGACTCTTTTCAAACCCCACCACCTCAAAAACATCAGAACAAACAGCTGCTCATCGATTCAACAAAACTAAATCTAAGCACTAAGAAAATGTAACCTGCATGACATATTTTTTAAAACTATTTAAAATGCAAACATTATTAGTGGGAAACACTGTTGCAGGAAATACAGTTTGTATCCCTGTGTCTTGGTTGCTTTTGTATATTTTGATTTATGTCAGTTGATAATGTACAGTATTTTTAAAAAATAAGTTTAAGCCAATTAACACTGTTAGGACAGACATCTGCACAGCGAGTGTTCACAGTGGTGAGATGCAGCATCTTGATGGGATGCGTGCCTTGGCTGCTTACAATCTTGACCAATGTGCAGATTCACACATTCAGTAGATTTGATGGATTTTTAAACTTTTGTTCACAAGGCACTAGCACATGAATGTTGAGAATGTTCTTCATATAATAGACAAAAATTACAAGGGTGTGACTAATTCAAATAACTTATACTATATAATAATACTAAATAATAATAATAATATATAATGTCTAATAATAATTACATAATTATACTAAAACTCAATACTCACAATTATCTCTGTATTTCTATATTTGATAGGTTTTCCTAGGCTAAGACATTGGTGCTGGGAAAGGAGCTTTTGATACATGTGAAAAAAATGTGATCATTTCTTGGTGCACATAATCTCACTCACCCTTGCTTTTCTTCTTGGTGTTGTAATATCACCTTGTGTTGAATTGCTGCAAGTGGAAGTGTTTTCTTTCTATGCAGAAACATCCTGACCACCTGTCCAAAACCAGAAGAAAATATAAGCAGAGGACAATGACAATGAACCCATGATTAAAACGATTGAGGGGATTATATCCATTTTAATGTAAACTGCAGCTCTAAAGAAATTAGCTTTATTTTTTACTTAATCCCCTAAATTATTTTCAGGGTCTGGAGCCAGAAGTCATAAATAACCATGTAAACCAGAATAGTCTATATTTAAATATTTAAATAATTAAAATAACAGTAAGAATAAGGGCAAGATCAAAAATATTGATTTTATTTATCTACATCTGTGTCATTTTTTTGTCCCTCATTCAAACAAAATCTGAAGATTTTTCTGCTCTTGATTTAACAGTTAAACTCAGTTTAGATATTGACAGCAAGTTTTTGTTGGGCAACAGGCAATAATTACACATTCCAGAATCACATCCTGGTGGTTTGAAATTATATTTTGGTAGCTTTATAAAAATGTGTATGTTGAAAGTCAGGTGCTCGATAAACCTGAAATGTTAAGGTTTTTTATGTTTAAAAAAAAAAGTAATTTTAACATATCATTAAAGTTGGAATCCCATAATTCCTGACGCATTGCATTAACCTTAATAAGAGAATAAACATCCCATATGTACAGTATGTCATATACATTTTTTTTATTTTTCTGATATGCATTTACACGCATAGTAAAGCAAATTACCAAACAAATATACAAATACCTTCTGCCATTCTGCACAAGTACAAATTATGTCTGGCACTAGTGTTTCCAAATAACAGGGAGTTCTGGTGAAATTTAAAATGATGAAGAAAATAATTAGATTTGATGCAGGGATGACTTGATTTTGAGTAATGTCAGTGTTCTAACATTAACAGAGTCAGAAAACCATTTTTGATGCTTTAACCTCAGCTTCACCTCAGGGAAACTCAGACACAAAGTGCTAAAAACAGAACTTGAGCTCACATCTGCTCAGCAGCAACGAGAAACGGAGGATGGAAAGAAAATACCCAATAGGGACGTTCATAATCACATGAATCCCCATTCATACTGTGCATGGCAGAACATGAACGTAATTATAAAAGGAGTTAACAGTGCAGGTGCCTTTGGCTGATGTGTGGCCTCAGTTATTTGTCTAGCATTAGTGGAGCGTGTATGAAACGGCCGGTCTGTGTATGTGTGTGTAATCCTGGGTTTTACCTTCACTGGTCTCCTCTCTGGTGACATCACACTGTGTGTTTCCAGCTGACACGTCAAAGGTATCAAGATTTAACAAGAGCCTTAGTGCTGTCTTTGGTAGGCAATTGAAAAGTCTTCATTGACCAATGTCTACCACAGGATGTCCTGTATGTTAATGACATTCTGTTAGCTGTAGTGAGCTGCAGATCAGGGTCCGGAGAAAGACACAGTGAAGAGACAAAGACAAACAACACAAACAGCTTGTTAAAGGCACCATGAGTCACCATAGAAGGAAATCAAGGTTCTCTCTTACTCTTATCAGACTCAAGAACCTTTGACAAAAACCGCAACCTTATTATTACATAATTCTGCAGAATTGACCGACCCATTGTTTAATGGTATTATAAAGATTTTAAGAATTATAACTGTGGCCTTCCAGAGACCACATTTTCCCAACTCTCACACACAGACACCATCTATAGTTTTTCCACAGAAGTAATGGCTGCACCTTTCAGAGTCAATTTAGCACTAAAAGTACAGACATGTTAACGATACCAGGCTGCCGAGCTCCTGTTCCTCACAATGTAGCTACAACAATCTGTGCATCCACCCAAACATGGTTTTGTTAAATGTCCAACTTTTAGTGCTAATACAGCTCTCTGCGCCAAGCCCAGGCTTCATATTTTACACATCAGATGTTATTTAATAGAGGAGAGAGGAAAAAATATACATATGATAACAAAGGCTCCTCTGTGACTAATACATTTCTGGAAAAAAACAAAAAACAAAAAGAGGAAACAGTTATTCATACTGGTCCCTGTTTGAGTCAACGTGAAACAAAGACTCCTGCGTTGGTGTTGCATCTCTATTGTGGAGCCAGAATCAAAGCATTGCTAAGCTGGCACAGTGGTTTTATAATTATCTTTTCTTAAAAAGTAAACTGTATAAAGTTAAGTCATCTCTCCTTCTCTCTTAGTGTGGCTGCACTCTGGTAACCTTTGGGTAATACACCTGACTGCTGTATTCTTTTATAATAAATGAAGATCCCTTTACAAGGGAGTAGGAAAAACACTTGCTGAGAAATATGCTGATTATTCACTGAGTGGGGCAAAAACGGATGAATAAAACCGAAAATGTGCAGCACTCGATGTGGAGAGCTCTCAGATGTCAGTCTGTATACAGGAGGTCTTGGTATGCTGCTGTGTTTGGGTTAAATGTTGCGGTCGGTGGTTGCTGCTGTTGTTGTTGTTGTTGTTGTATTCTTTCAGCTGCTCTCCAGTGTTGCTGTCCAGCTCAGCAGGACACACCAGGTTGACGTTCTCCTCTGTGATGAAGCAGAGTGGTGACAGCTCTGCACAGTGGCCAAGAGAGGAGGTGGTAGAGGTGGGGGAGTGAGGAGTGATCATAGCTCCGTGGACTTGGGTTGAAGGTGATGAAGAGGCTGGGCAGGTCTCCAAGCGGTCGTTCTCCACCTCAGGTAATGGGCTGACGGTGGCAAAGCGTGTATGGTAGTCTCCTCCACCAGAGCCGTGGCTACATGACGTCTTCATGCTCTCCAGGTCTGAGCAGCTGAACTCAGAGAAGTGGCTGGAGTGGGAATCGGCCACAGAAGGCAAACTGCCACTCAGAGAAGGAGAATCAAACTCAGAGGAGTTGGTGCTGCGCTGCTCCAGCAGCTGAGCGTCCATATCCTCACGAGTCTCGTTGATCTTGGTGCCTCCGCAGCCTTTTTTGCGCAGCTTTCCTTTGCTCTTCTTGCCCCCAGAACTGGAGGAGGAGCAGCAGGAGGCCTCTTTGGCCCACTTGTTGGAGGTTCCTTTGCCCTCTGAGGAGGGACAGACATTAGAAGGGCATGTCCAGCCACAGCGCCCAATGTGACTTCCATCATCTACACTGCTGCTGCCGCTGTGGTGCCGCAGCTTACAAGGTTTGGATTCAATGTCAACCTGGACTTCCATACTATTACCATCTCTGGAACAAAGAAAGAAAAAGAGACACATTTAATTTACAAAAGAATGTATGTATAACCTGCAGTTTGGCTTCCTTTATATGTTTTAATGTATCAAACTTCACAAGTGTGATTCCACAGCTGCTGACAATGTTCTGTTATTTTATAATTTATGACCAAAGGTAAACATTTCAATCCAGGACTAACTCACTAATAGAGAGATTGCAACTTAGTGTTGAAATTTTCCACAGTGCCTGATATAGACAGGTCTTTGAACAGGGTTTTCTTTTAAAGTAAGCCAGATTCATTCAACCATAATACTTGCCTGTCTAGGGGTATGTAAGCATTAAGAATGGATCCAGCCATTGCTTTAGTGCTAGCATTGTCACTGATTGTACCCAGGCTGACGGTGCCAGACTCCCCACTGAGACTGCAGCGCTCCTTCTGCACATCAGCCTGCACCTCCAGCCTGACAACAGAGATGAGGAGAGGTTTAGAAGAAGCTTGAGACCAAAGGTTAAAGCTGGTGTCCCTGTTTTATTACCTGTTTAGGTAGTTGACCATGGCACTTCCGGACAGGCTGCCTGTTATACTGGCTCCAGCCAAAGCCATGGTGGAGGCTGTCTCACTCAGGTTGTCTCTGATGGCCCCTAAGCGGTCTATGTGGCTTCCACTGGCACTCAGGCTGCCTGTCAACCCTCCAACACTGCCCTCCCCTATACTGGGGTTGTTCCTGGTCTCTGCAACCGAGGTTGTATCTACACAAGATGGAAAACAATGAATAAAAATGTATATATATATATTGTGAGCAATGAATAAGGAGGACCGTCAGTTTCAACTGTGTGTAAAAAATCCCACCTGTGGCAGCTGCACCACTGCCAACATTCATGTCGTTTTCATCATCAAACTCGATGCGAACTCCCTTTCCGTTTCCAGCCGAGACGCCACATCCTCCACTCCGGCACAGAGAGATGGGTACCACGCCATAGACATATGCAAGCATGATGGGTACACCAATGCCTTATAGTAAAGGGAATGGACAGATAGGTTAAACCTCAGGACAACAGATGATAGTGTGAACTTGTAACAGTGAAAATAAATGTTACAGAAATAGAGGTGACTATAAAAATCTTATTTTGCATAGTGTTGACAAGAAAGATGAAGCACACAAAAATGACAAAAATCAGAGAGATTTAGGGACAGGATCAACCACTGACCGACAGTGACTGCAGCAACTACTGGAGACACTATGACGGAGAGAGTCACCCCACCAGCGATCACCAGGTTCCTCTTGTGGTTGGAAATGTCTTTGCCCTCATAACGGTTATGGATCTGACAGAGAAAAAGGGAACAAAGACATTAAAATCAAGGATTCGACGAGTCCCACACTCAGATTTGAGCTGATAAATGAGCCTCAATGTGTGTAGAAAAGATAAGGCTCAAATTCAGTTGCCATTGCCATAATTAATTTTGAATCATATTTTAAGAACTAGTAATAGTGGCTCAAAATAAGGAGTGCAACCCGTTACCACCAACACAAATAGCGATGGACATTGCTCTTGAAAGGGTGCTGAAACTTAATTTTCCTTGAACAGTTAAGTTATTTACAAAGTTACAGACCTAGTGTTTCCTAAAGCATTTCCGCACAAAACGTGGTATACAGCAAAGTGCAAGTCATCCCTACAAAATTACTTCTGTCTGAGCTTTGTGCAGGAATTACTAATTCAGCTGATTTTCCAGATAAAGATTTAAAACAAGCTATGACCAACACAGCCATATTAAGCATTGCTTCAGAGAATATTTAATTCTGATAAAGTGAGCATGTTTTTGGCTAACTACCTGTCCATGACTACAGTTAGGATTCTTGAGCCTTTTGGCTAACTACCTGTCCATGACTACTGTTAGGATTCTTGAGCCTTCAGCATTTGTTTCCTTATGCTATTAAAAGTAGATGAAAGTATAATGAAACGTTCTTCTGCTAAAATAAAATGTTGCAGGAGCAATCCAAAAATGATATGATAGCTACATGTCTACCAATACACTTCTTAACAGTGATCATGAGAATCAATTGATGCAGTAAACCACACCCAATCAAAAGTGCACCTT